TCTCTCTCTCTCTCTCTCTCTCTCTCTCTCTCTCTCTCTCTCTCTCTCTCTCTCTCTCTCTCTCTCTCATATTATAATGGCACACAACATTTATATGTTATCTATTAAGGCATTTGTGATGCATGTCAAGCAACACTCACAATTCATGCATCCATATATAACCATGTATAAAACCAGCCCATTCAACAATAACCTGTACTAGTTTAAACATACATAATTGAAAATGCAAGTAGTAAGAAATCAGTCCCTTCAACAATAACCTGTAATAACTTCACCACTACTTACATTCACCAGTGAAAATCTGCTATCCTATTTAAATATGCAATTTGAATAAGTACTTGTGAATTGCCTCAACACCTTGGCAAGTGTCCTGTAATATCACAAGACTCAATTGAGTCAAGCCTCTTTTTATTGGTTAATCAATAGATTCAACCAAATCGATCCTGTATGACTCAGCTCAAGAACCTACCAAGCCAAGCTGAGTCACTACTTGTTGATAAATACAAGTAAAAAGGAAATGTGATGTAACTGATCCATCAAAATCAAGAATAGGTCATGGAATAATTGTACTAATAACATGTCAATAATATTGTGAGACAAGTGAGAGAAAAACGGATTTCTGTGTGCCGATAATTTGTTATAAGGAAAGGACTTACAAGTTTATATACTCAAAAATAATAATAATAATAATTACAAGGTTAGAAAATAAAACAAAGTGAAAGGTATCTAACAACCAAATTCAAAGTGGTCCAAGTTCTTACATTCCATTTTCATCCTGAATAATTTTCCAATCAATAAGCTCTTTTATCAATTCGTTTGCTGTCACTGCATCTTGACTGGAGAATGTCGGTTTTGCAGAACCTGTGAGCATGATGCTTCATTTAGATTTAAAATACTACAACAAAGTATCATACAAAGAGAGTGGTAAATCACAATGCACATGAAAGAGCATCTAGAAATCGATAAATATAAGTAGGAACTGTGCAATTATCAAAAGCCTGGTGCATATTCAAAAGTCTTGCGCATATTGAAAGAGCGAAAGACAAAATGTCTCAAGGATCAATAAAAACTTGCCTCAAAGAGTTCCAACAAAACAAAATCCATAACCTTAGGAGAGAAAATTGTGGACGAAGATTTTCAGTTCACTTTAGAAAATAAAGAATAGAAAAAGGGCAACTGATATGCTTCAATTGTTTATTTTACCATCAATTTCAAATCACCCAATTAAGTCATAGACACTTTTTAGGGGTACCATTTCATTCATAAAAAAAAATATAAGGACCTTGTACGTTAATGCTAAACATGAACTCGTCCAAGTTTAACTACATGTCAACAACACATGCCAGATGTAAGACCTTCTAGTACTAATTTCAACACGAAAATAAAAGACAACCTAAGACCATGAACCAAATTACTGCTAGAATGCAAGCAATCAATCTTATTTAGCATCAAGGGTTTGCCACAAAACAAAATAGAGGCCCTCAAAAAAGACGATAGTATAGAAGATAATATTCCAAATTATTACCTCATCTAACCTACACCTTGAGCAACTATGAGAAACAATGTGAATATGCTGCTGTATAATAACAATCAAAGAACAAAGATAAATGGACTTTTTTCATGTAGATAGATAGAGAGGTGGATTTCATATGGAAAAAACTCTTATATATTTGATCATTTAATGACATGACAAACCTTAAAAGTAATACAAAAGAAAATAACATCAAATTGATTAGAGGAATGATAACCCCAAAAAAGCAGTCCAAGCACTACTTAGTTACCATCTTTTTTCAATTCTTTTTTTCCCTTTAGTCATACAAGACATTATTCTAGATTATGAGGGACATGGCTTAATACATGGGCATATGATTGCCAAATCATTGGTTTTTGTGAATAGCAAGATCAACCGTAGAACACAATACACTTTGTTCTTCAAGTCAAGAAGCCCTTAACTCCTACTTGATATGGCCATGTATCACTAGGATTGATGCAAAAGATTATTTAGCGGGATACTGAAGAGATCATGTTTCTTACAATGAACAAAAACAGGAAAAAAAGAATCCCCAAGACCTCAAATGAATAGTTAATAGGATTCCCCTTCCCTAAAGTGCGCTAAAGATCAATTTTGATGGAAGCTCCAAGGAGCCCTAGACCAGCAAGATTTGGGGGCATCATTTCTGATGCTAAGCCAAAATCATCAAGCCAAGTTTTATTGGTTTGAGTCACACTTTTATACGAAATACTTCGAGTCTCAGACTATCAAAAGTGATATTTTAAAATCCATTCAGTGGCACAACAGTCAGTGCTATGGAGAGTCCATTAGCTTATCAAAATAGGTTAGAGGTCAATGCCGCGTAAAATGCTACCCATTAAAAATTATATAACCATTATATAATTACTCCCATATAATTACTATTTTGTTTTACTATTAATCATAATTATATAAAATTACATTTTATGCCACAGAGTTCAAAAGATGAATGCTATTTCACATTCTAAAATCAGCATTTACACCCTTTAACAAGAGATTTATGAATTGGGTAGCTATAATCACAGAAACATAGTTATGTAATACATGCGAAGTTTTATCGTTTAGTTGCAAATATCAGCATTTTAGGTCAAATTGAAGTGTTAAAACCAAGCAAATCCAAATCCCTCTGTTGCAATAACTATATTGAGATCATGCAACCCCACTCTTCACTCCACAAGAATAGAGCGATAAATTACTGAGCACACAGATTAATCCAACACAACACTGTGTTCTTCAATGAGGAAGACATCACAGATATCACAAATCATCAGTAAAGAAATCTCCAAGAAGAATGTCATAAAGATACTTATAAAGCTATAATAACAAAAAATCCCAAAAAAATATTAACTAAAATGCCACAAATCTCATGACATCTCCAAAGCCAGCCCAAAATCACATAAATTGGCAAAAATACATCCATTAATAAACATATCTTGAAAATCAGGGGAAAAAATACAGAGATTCAAGAACCAACAATACCCTAGCAAGAGAAATAGGTTTACAGAAAAAATATAAAAAATAAAAAAAGAACCATACCTGGAGCTCTGATGTCAATGACGGATGGGAGGTTGGTGATAGAGAGAGAAAGAGATTTAGGGCTACACAGCTAGATGGAGAGAGAATAAAGTAGTTCTGCAGAGAGAGATGAGAAAGAAAGCCATTTTCTAGAAATGGAAAGAGAGGGAAAGAGAGAGAAAGAGAGGAGAGAGGTACATGGTGAAGCAGGTGAGGAGGCTCTGTGAAGAGGGATGCTGGAAGGTTGACGAGGACGGAAGAAGAGGAGGCTGAGTGCAGCGGACAACAGAGGAGAGGGATGGCTCAGCTACAAGGCTCTGGTTGATGGCGGCCTGCTGCGAAGAGAGGCTCAGGGCAAACTTTCGTGGGTGAAGTTTTATATAAACTTCCCACTTCAAGTTCCGACCAAAAGGTCGGAACTTTTTATAACACAAAGTCAACAGTAAAGGGAACTTGAACAGTAAAGTAAAGTGAAGTTCTTCATTCAACTTTCATTTTTTATCAAACGCCAAACATGAAAAAGTAAATAGAAGTTTCCAAGTTCATAGAAGACATTTCCTGTTATCAAACTCGCTCTAGGGGTATGTTTGATAAAATTTAATTTAATAACTAAATTTTAAAAAATTTATATAAAGTTTTTTTTTTTTTTGATAAAGTTACATAGGTCAAAAAAAAAATTAGGTTTGACTTTTTGACAAGGTTACATAGGTCAAAGAGAAAACATTACGGGTATGTTTTACAAAACTGAATTTAATAATCAAATTTTCAAAAATTTGTATAGAGTTTTTTTTTTTTTTTTGACAAGGTTACATAGGAATGCAACTTTGAGGCATTAGCAATGTTTAAAAAAACGGACCGCCCGGCACCTAAGCGCCCAAAAACATTTTTTCGCACGCCCGAACCTGGGTGCCCCAACACAGGCGGTTGTACCTGGGCGGGCACCCAGCACAGTTTACGATTTTTTTTTTTTAACTTCGCCCAAAAGGTCAAAGGGGGTCATTTTGAATCCCAAGTTTGTATAAAATAAGTTTAGGGGTTTATTTTTCAGCCCCAAACTGAAAAAAAAAATGAGAAACCCTCAATCGTAAACTTATTTATGAGAATCTAAAGCAATTGCCGAGAATCAAAAGTACTTCTTGTGGATTGAAAAAGTTTGTTTTGCTGATTGAAATTATTTTTAGGGTGTTATTGACTTTTAAGTTGATTTGTAGCTCGATTGAAATAGTCAATATCGAATATCAACGATTGGGTAGAAAAGGTCAGTCTGTAATCTTTATTTGAGATTCATTTTTTCAATTTGAGATGTCTTCTGCGGGGTCTACTAAGGGTGGAGATCCGGGATGGAAATATTGTGTTAATACTGTAAGAATTACAAAAATAAAATTATGTGCAATTTATGTGGACATGTTTTTAAGAAACATCTTGCCGGTATTAGAAGTGATGTCGCCCCATGGAAGAAAGTCTCAAATCTTGTAAAGAAATAAATTTTGGAGTACATTGAAGCTAAAAAGAGTAAAAAAGTTGCAAAAAAAAAGGATATAATAAAATTAAAGTCAAGGATTCATATTTTTTATGATATTATTGAAACTGCAAAAGATGATGATGAAGAGGGGGAAGAAGAGGTTGCCATGGTTGGTACTCAGAGCTCTAAGACCAGAGGGCTTTTGGGTCTAAGAAGGGTCGTACGAGAGGGCCTATCGATAGTTTCCTTACACCTAGCCCTGAGACAGTAATTGAGAAAGGCAAGGGAAAGGGGAAAAAACATGTGACAATTGAAAATAGGTTTAAAAAGGAAGATAGAGCCAGGGTGATTCAGTATATCGCTCAGTGGTTTTACCATGCGAGCATTTCTTTTAATACTGTTAGTTTGAATAGCTTCCATACAATTTTGGAAGCAATTGGGCAATTTGGACTAGGTTTAAAAGCTCCAACTCCTTATGAGATTGGAGAGCCACTACTGAAAAAAGAAGTCGAGTACACTAATGAATATCTCAATACTCATAAGGAGGGATGGACTAAATTTGGGGTTTCTTTGATGACAAATATGTGGAGTGATAAGAGGAGGAGTAACATGAATTTATTAGTAAATTGTCCCAGTGGTATAGTTTTTTTACGCTCAATCCATGCTTTCAATGATGTTCATAATGTGCATTATATATTTTCTTTCACTCATAAGGGTATTGAGGAGGTTGGGGAGGAACATGTAATTCAATCGGTCATAGATAATGCTGCTCCCAATCTAGTTGCAGGTCATTTGCTTCGACAAAAGAGGCCTCGCATATTTTGGACTCCTTGCACTGCACATTGCGTAGATCTTATGCTTGAGGCAATTGGTAAATTGCCTCCTATTAAAGAAATTATTTTTAAGGTTAAGGAGGGTACAATATTCATATATAGTCACATTCTTACCCTTAGCATGATGCGCAAGTTTACAAAAAAGAAAGAGTCAGTGAGGTCTAGGGTCACTAGATTTGCCACTGCCTACCTTAGTCTACAGAACATGTATAAGAGAAGGATCGCATTAAAGTCTATATTTACTTCAGAGGAGTGGAGTAGGTGTAAGTGGTCTAGAGATGCCAAGGGAAAGAAGACATGAGATATTATTCTTTCGAAATATTTTTTGCGTGGGGTGAAGCATGCGATATTAGTATTTCTTCCCTTGGTGAAGGTCTTGAGCTTGGTTGATGCTGATATGCCCTCCATGGGCTTTATATATAATACAATGGAAAGGACTAAGAATGAGATTGCAGAGAATTTGGGAGATGATGCAGCGAAGTATGCCCCAATTTGGGAGATTATAGATGATAAATGGGATAGGCAGCTTCATAGACTATTGCATACAGCGGGGTACTACTTGAACCCCAAATTCTTTTATGCAGATGTAGATATTGAGTCAAAAGGGGTAATTATTGATGGTTTTAATGAGTACCTTGAGAAATTAGTTCATGATTCAAATATCCAAGATAAGATATCACTTAAAGAGCTAATTTTGTAAAAATGTTATTTGTTGTCATTTATGAAAGATATGACATTAAGGCAGAGAAACAAAAACGAACCAGGTAATATTCTTTTAACTTATGTACTTTTTTTTTATAAAATATAAATTTATAATTTTCTTTCAAGTTCTGATAATGTTAAAAACCTAAATTAATTATAAAGGTTGCCCACATATTGTAACCCAATGGTGGAGACAACATGGGAGTAGCGCGCCAAACCTCCAAAAGATGGCTATGCGGATCTTGAGTTTGACAACTACATCTTCTAGTTCTGAGCGCAATTGGAGTTCGTTTGAAATGATTTTTTACTATTTTACTATTTTAAAGGAATCAAATTTTATATACTTTTTTTGTTTATAAGTTCATATTCATTTTGTAATATAGATTCATAAAAGATAAGAAGATCATAAACCTATAGTAGTTACTTATGCATTATTTTTCCTTTTAGGTGCATACAAAGAGAAGAAATAGGCTTGAGCAAATGAAGCTCAATGACTTAGTTTTTGTTAGAGAGAATCAAAGGCTCAAGGAGAAGAAAAACCAACCAAAGAAAGACCCTATCTCTTCGAAAAACATGGAGAATGCTTCAGATTAGCTAGTTAGTGACCCTGGTACTAAAGAGGTCTTCATTGGGGAGGGTTTGATATGGGAAATGGTTGAGGAGGCTTCAGGGCAAGCTTCTGATCCTTAGAGGGCCACTCGAGCAACTTCTTCTGCTGATACTTCACGAAGGGAGATAGAGGAAGAGGATGCAGATTCAAAAGAATATCTGGAAGAAAAGGAATATATTGAAGAGGGTGATGATTCTGATGATGACGACCTCGATTCTGATGATGACAACCTCAATTCTGATGCTGATGAAAGCAATGAAGATGATGAATCTGATTCTTATTGATGTCTTAATTGTCTTCTCTCTTCTTTTGAAGTAACTTTAATACTTTATTGGACCATCTTGGTTTGGGCTTTAGACATTTGGAGTTTGAACGATTTTTATTTAGTTATGTGGTTTGTAATTTTTTTGCCTTTTTGGACTATTTCGTTGTGTGGTTTACTGGTTTTGGAAGTCAGTTTGTTGATCACTTGGAGAGTTGGAGACTTGGAATCTTAGATGTTATTATGGTTTATTTTATGGATATGGAATATGCCAATATGGAGAATTTCTGAATTTGAGAGTTGGAGACCTTACAGTAGCCTATTAGACTTTTAAATGTTTTGTATGGTTCAAATTTTGGAATAAATTACAAAATTTTGACACAAATATATGCATATATGTGCATTTGGATAACAAATACATGTAAAAAAAAAACTAAAAATTTGCACCGCAGGGCACGCGAGGTTCTGGGCGCCCGCTTAGGTGCCTGCCTAGGTGCTGGGCTCCAAGCAAACCGCCTAGGGGCCGCCCAACGTTTTTCGAAACCTTGGGCATTCGGCTATGAAAACCTAGCCTCTACAGTCTTGACCCAAGCACGTTTCCTAAAAGTTCAAATAAAGTTGTTGCACACATTTTATTATATGGACTATATGTCTAACAGAATAAGAATCGGAAAAAGTTTAAATAGAGCCGAGGCTCTAAACAATCAAATTAGAGCCCATCACAAAAAATTCACTAGAAGAGGTGGTTTTGATGCCCAAATATCCTCAAATTGATCATATCGACATCAAGATGCATGGATATGAGAAAAAAATGGATTTCAAGTTTTGGAAATAATGCATCTTGTAATGCAGTTTTGGACCATGAATTTTCAAGATTTTCAAGTTTTCATAGATCTGCTCGATCTACACTATTTTTGAAGCTTTACTTTGATTGTTTAGAGCCTCGGCTCTATACAAACCGCATTTGGCTAACAGAATAAAAATTTGGCTAAAAAAATCTTAAAAATTGATGGTCTGGATAATGCATTACAAGATACACTATTTTCAAGACTTGAAGCCTATTTTTTTCCACATCCATGTATCTCAAGGTTGAGATGATCGGATTCGAGGGTTTTTCGGCATTGACTAGTATATTTTTGAGGTGAGCCTTTGATTGTTTAGGGCCTCAACCTTATATGAGCTTTTTCAATTTATTAATAAGATATTCAGACAAAAAATACCGATAAATCATAAACAAAAAGTTTATTTAAGGTTGCAACTTTATATTATAAAAGTAAGGTGCACCTCAAAAATCCAGTAGGAATGAGTATTCAGAAGTTGGAAAACAAGTACATCAAAAACAACTTTTTCTAATCTATTTTTGAGGTCCGCCTTAGTTTGAATGTTTAGAGCCTCAACCTTATATGAGCTTTTTTCATTTATTAATCAGATATTCAGACAAAAAATGCCGATAAATCATAAAGAAAAAGTTCATTGAAGGTTGCAACTTTATATTATAAAAGTAAGGTGCACA